TGGAATATATGTTATAATCTTAATGCATAATTAAGCCTTAAATTGACAAGTGTGGTGATGATTGATATACGCACAGATAGTGGTGTGGGTGATAATTCCATCTATGTTGAAGGAAGGATCGGTAACAAAGGAGATGACAGTCTTCCTCTTCACGTTTCTCTTTCCAATACCTCCCAAAGATAAACCACTCCGCTTACCGCCTCCGCCGCATGCAGAACCTTTCCGGCTTCGTTTTGGGGACAACTGGTGGGGGCATTTTCCTCAACCTCATCGCATACTTTGTCGTATCTCATGTAAGTCATCTTCCTTCAGACTTGGTTAATACAAAAGCCTGAATGACAGAAGTACCCACTAATTAAAAATATGCCTTCTAGTGAAAAGTGTGAATGAAAACATCATATTAAATATTGTCCTAGGAGCAATGTAGCTTATCTTCATTCAAATGGGATGACTTTGTGTTCCTCAAGGAGTGAGTATTTTATCTCACAAGATCTTGTGAAACACGTGGTGGGAGGTGATAGTTATCCTGTACCTACTAAAAATTCAATAGAAGAAGAAACTGCAAGCTGAATCTAGAGCTTTTCAAGTGTTTTGTTTTTTCTTCTTTTTTTTTTTTTCTTTAATAATTTGTAGGCAGCAGGAGCATGTTGGTACATGCTGGGGATCCAAAGATCTGCACAATGCCTGAGAGATCAATGCAGACAGATAGAAGGTTGTGACCTGAGGATATTGGCTGCTAAAGAGCCTATTTATTATGGAACAACACAAGCAATGAGGGAGAGAGCAAGGCTGGCATGGGCAGGGAACAATCAAGTCAGGAGTACATGCATAGAGTCTCCTCACAACTATGGCTATGGAGCATATGAGGGGGTTGTTCAGCTTGTCACTAATGAAAGCCACCTTGAGAAGATCCTCTTCCCCATATTCTGGGGCATAATGAATCTTAGGTATCATAGATCACTCGATCACAAATTTGACAACAATAACTCTTTTATTTACAAAAATGATTGATACTTATTTGATTTAATACACTTTCTGATACTTACCTTAATCCAACTATCTTTTAAAAAGTGCGTTATGTAATATATTTAAGAACAATCATGCATATACCTTACATAATTACATACTTGATTGCACATTAACAAAAACCATTAATGTGTAATAGAAACCATTAATTTTAACAACACAATTAACGGAAATTGTCAATTTTAACGACATAAATAACGAAAATCATTGACTTTAACAGCACAAGTAACAAAAACTATTAGTGTATAACAGAGTGTAATTAAATGCATGCCAATCACTGTCCTTCTACGTAATATTATCTTGTAGCTTGCATTTATGTGATTGAATCATCATCAGCACTTTTGGGAACTTGGTGAACACAACAGCATGGTCGGAGGCACTTTTCAGTATCATTGTTCTTACTCTTGCGCTGATTTTGCTCACTATGTTGCTTGCAAATATCAAGGTATTACAAATCCTCAGTTCAATTCTTTCTTTTTTTTCTGCATTGTTCCTAATTAATTATAAGTAGATATGTTTTACTCTAAAAGAGTGGTAGTCCCAATTCAAAACAAAATAAGTAGCTTCTCATGCTTTATGTTCTTCACTTTTCTGCCGGATAATAATTAATTAAAAGGAAAACAAAGGAAAATATTGCTTTTTGAATGCAAGAATTAATGTGTGTTTTATTTGTTTTGGTGGGGAACATTAAGGTGTTTCTGCATGCAATCACGTCAAAGAAACAAGGAATGCAGTTGAAGATGAGGAAGATAGAGTGGTGGATGAGAAAAAAAAACTTGCCTCAAGAGCTCCGGCAGCGAGTGCGGAACTACCAGCAGCAGAAGTGGGCGTCGACGCGCGGCGTTGACGAGTCTGAGATGATCAGGACCCTCCACGAAGGGCTTAGAAGGGACATCAAGTACCATCTCTGCTTTGATTTAGTGAGACAGGTACAAATCAAATTGCAGTCGGATAAACCGAAATTCCTAATTCTAATTTTGCCTTCCCTTCTTTTTACCGCACAAATTGTATGGAATTGCATAACATAAATCCTTAAATGATGAGAGCTTCCAATGTATAAAGACTCGTTTCTCATTTTAGAGTTCTTATTTTATAATTTGATATAATTTTGAGTGCAAAACAATTTTTCATTTAATTTTTTTACACACAATTTCAACATAAAAGAAAAAAAAATTGCAGAGCAGTTAAAGGAAGGGCCTGAGCCCAATGTTCTTAGTTCTTCTAGTTGTAGCTTAGGCCTGGGGTTAGAACTAAAGATCTGACTTCTCATTTGCATTTTTAGGTACCACTATTCCAACACATGGACGATTTGGTCCTAGAGAATATATGTGACCGGGTTAAGTCCCTCATTTTCACCAAAGGAGAAACTGTAAGTCTCAATCTTCATTTTTTCCATTACAAGAAATACATAATCTAGGAATTGGATTCCAATTTTTCCATATATATAGCCTCTGAACAAAAAATTTACTTCAATGATATGTAGATAACTAAAGAAGGTGACCCAGTACAAAGGATGCTCTTTGTAGTTAGGGGACATCTCCAGAGCAGCCAAGTTCTCCGAAGTGGTGTGAAGAGTTACTGCACGCTAGGCCCTGGAAATTTCTGTGGGGATGAGCTCCTTTCATGGTGCCTGAGAAGACCCTTCATCGAGAGGCTGCCGCCTTCTTCATCCACCCTGGTCACTCTTGAAACCACAGAGGCATTTGGCCTAGAAGCGGGCGACGTTAAGTATGTAACGCAACATTTCCGGTACACATTTGTCAATGAAAAAGTGAAGAGAAGTGCAAGATATTATTCACCTGGAGAGGACTTGGGCAGCAGTGGCAATTCAGCTGGCCTGGAGGAGGTATAAGCATCGCGTGGAACTTACTTCACACGCATTTATTAGGCCCCAGGGATCTCTGTCGCGAAGCAATTCACTTGATGAGGACAAGCTCAGGCTTTTCACAGCTGTGTTAAGTTCACCAAAGCCAAATCAATATGCTTTTGAATTTTCAGAGGATCATAATTAATATATGAATCCCCGTTTTTACATTGCTTTTATCAAATTAAGACAAAAATCCAATGGTGATGTTGGATATTTAGCGATAATATAAAATAGGTAATAAGTAGTGGATAATAAATAATAAATATAAATTGATATAATCATTTGATCATATAACAATTAGCAAATGTTGTTTGATATTAAATGAGTAATAAAACTTATTTAGAATTAATTATGTTATCTTTTTATTTATTATTATTACCATTAAAAGAAAGAAAATCGTTGATATACTTTTTGATTTAACACACCTGTTAACACTTATCGGTTCAAGTATTAATAAGTGTTTTGTGGAGTGTATTATGGAATGTACTGTGGAGTATATTAAATCAAATGATATATCAATCATTATCCTTAAAAAATTTTTAATTTTTATAATGACATATCTATTACTCCATCAGGTTGAATTTAATTGTCACACTATATATATGTAAAAAGAAAAAAAAATATATATAACACAAAACAGAAAACTTTTTTTTTTTTTCATTTTTATGCTTATTTATAATTAAACAAAAAATTATTAACCCATTTCTATCTCTTTGAAGATAAGAGTAAAATTAAAATCATAGCATTTAATATCCTATTAAAATAAAAAATGAGATAATTAAATCAAACTATTTTTATTTAGAAAATAGGACAACTAAATTTAACTGAAATGAGTATTATCATTATAAAAGTGAAAATTAAAATATCATATCATTAAAAATGCCAAAAATTTCAATTTAAATCACATGATCAGGACGGAGCCAATGAAGGACGGGGGGAACCGCCTCGCTGAACTTTCGAAAAACAATTCATATGGTAATCTAACTTTTATTTGTTAAAAAATTTGTGTTATGGTATGAATTTCAAATATCATTTCAAATGTAGAGAGAATATTTATGACTTAAATAAAAGGTTTTCAAAAAATAAGAATATGATTTTAAATAAAATGAACTTTATGACAATTTAATTAATTAGGAATTGGGATTCTTAAACATTTCTTTATCTATTAAGCCCAAAAAAAAAAAAAAACTTTAATATTTTTTATCAACTTTAAATTTATAGTCTTCTTTAATATTTTTTTATTTTCTTTCTTAATATTCTATATAATAATTTAAAATTTTTTTATGGCATTGACATACATTTTTACCTTTCACAATTGAATTTATAATAATTTTTTGTGTTAAATCAATCAAAATTATAAGAGTTCACTTTTTAAAAATATATTCTAGTAATTTTTATATTTTTTATAATATTGGTGTTTATTAACATGGCCTCCAAAAAATTAAGAGAAAAATATCCTAAAATTATAAGAGTTCACTTTTTAAAAATATATTCTAGTAATTTTTATATTTTTTATAATATTAGTGTTTATTAACATGGCCTCCAAAAAATTAAGAGAAAAATACCCTAAAATTATTTTATTTCACTAAAATCAAAGTAGTCTCATTTTTACTTTAAGAATACATTGTTTTTATCTTTTTCAAAGCGAGTTTATTAAAATAGGATAAAG